ATGCTGATGCTGATGCTGATGATGATGATGATGATGATGATGATGATGATGATGATGATGATGGAGGAGGGGGGAGGAGGGGGAGGAGCAAAGAGTGAGGGACGCGGGGCGCGCGGTCTCTTCAAAACGAGGACCCAACACCATAGGATGGTTAGGAAAAAAGCAAATGCAACCCCCTAAACGTCACAGCGAACTGCTCCGATGCCACGATTGTGACGCAACTATGGTCTCGCGGTCGCAGCTGCAGCTGTCACCGTATTGTCTTCGTCGCTTTATCCTCCCCCCCCTCTGCCATCGGGTGTGGGGCTAGTCATTGGCATCACGACTCATGCCTGGATAAATGGCTGCGGCTAGCTGCTAACCGCTGCTAGCGGCTAGCTGCTAGATTGCCACACGTCCCCTGCGTTAGCGCGCTGCTGTATTGAACAAAGGCCTATCAGCGCCTCGTCCGTGGAGTTCGCTGTGGCACCAATGCGCGGCCCCACGACTCACGCATGGATTTTGGCTGAGCCACCCGTGCACTGCAAGCACTCACATACGAAAAGGCTTCACTCGATGAAATAACAAGACGAGGGAAACCGTGCAAGGTCCCCGATAGCGGCTTCGCCAGTGCCGGACGCTCCAGGCGCAGGGTTCCTGCGCCCAGCACGCCCGCTCACGCCCTGTAATACGAGCCGAGAGACCTCCGCGGAGGGAGGCCCGAAGCACATGATCTCGAAGAGCAGCATACCGTAGGCGTACGCGTCGACCTCCATTTAGCGGTCGGCGCGCCCAGCCAGGATCGGGCTGGGCGAAAGAGGGGGATAGCAAAGGGGGGGGTGAGAATCAGCTCACGTAGCTGATTCTCCCGGCGCCTCCCGGCGCCGGAGGCGGCCATGTATCGAGGAATGGGCCCCTTCGGTGGGGCCGAAACCAGCTGCATGCAGCGGATTTCGTACGGCAGGTTCGTGTTGTGCCGACCCCAGCGTTGGTTTTTGACACCGCAGGGATCGTTCAACCTTGAACGATCGGCCGCTGCCGCAACGTCCGATCGTTCCACATCGACCGATTCTGGGCCGCCGGCGGCGTTCAACCTTGAACGCCCGCGCTGGGGTCGCCGCTGGTCGACACGACGCAAACCTACCGTAACCCCCCCTTTCCCTATCCCCCCGTTTCGTCTGGCCCGC